GCCTTACGTAAAGGAGATACGTTAAACAAACAAACTGATGTGTTTATCAGAATTCACTTTTTATTTAGTAGCAAAACATCTGAGCAGTACATAAAACACGTGCGTGTTTGCCCGCTTATATAAAAGTGCTTATCACATTCTAACAATACAATGAGATCCTCCAATGTACACGAATCTTTTGTAGTAAGATAAATAGTATCCAATATATCCTATAGTGTACTGTTCATTTTAAAATTATCACAATGATATCAATTTTATTTAAAAAAACAAACAGAGAAAATGCCTTCCAAAATCATGTTTTTTTCCATAAAAGTCACGTTGTTAAATACAACATGGGATATACTTGAACTCGAACTGATGTTTGAGGAGCTGTCTATCTCATATCTATTTATATATAGCCATAACTTTAAATTTACAGATCCAAGTTTTAAATCACATTGAGTGAAATATATTACTTCATTCGGTCCGTTTCTCCCATTGCTGTTTGTGTGTTTGTTTGTTATTCTCGGCAATGTACGTGTATGATATATATTAGTATCTTGTTTGTGTGTTTATTTTGTAAACTACACATAGTGATTTGATTGGCTGCGCTCAAATCACTGCATTAAGCAAACGTGTGATGGCAGTGGTCAAAAGGGGAACACTGCGTAGGTTTTTGTAATATTTTGTTGTAACCATATTTTTTTCTTAAGTTAAAGATATTTCGATTAATCGGTATGGCGATTTATTTTAGGGTTTGGAGCAGACGGTATTTGGTATGATAGGACAGACGACAAGTTGTAGTCTGGTGTCAGACGGTGCTGAATGTATCCTAATCAATAAAAAATTCTTCCTACAGCATCTGTCCGACAATGTCGCAAAACAAATCCGTAAAACAGTAAGTAATATTATGTTATCTACTTACATATCTTATAGCATGTTATAATTTGATTCCATCCGTACAAGTGATGTTATTAAATTACACTCATGAAGAACAAAACAGCCCAACATCCATTTATATATACCGACACGTAATATTTTATCAACTATGTTCTGCCAAAACAAAACTAAGTCAATAAACGCTTGCTAAATCAGTTTAAAATCTGAGGAGATTTTTGTGGCAAAAAAGATACATATATGTTACATACATGTTACTTATTCATTTCCTTGGAGACCATAAGCCGCTTTACGTGGAAGGGCATGAACGTGTCGCACATAGACGGTTCCATTACATGTATAACCGCCGTATCTGCGGATACCTCTAAATTCAAAACTTCACTATTTTCAAGTTTAAATTTTGAAATCCGCTTAATTAAGCCTATGCTAGAAGCATGGATGGTTACTCAGAATTATCACTACCATCCATGAAATTGCTCATTCAAACTGAGCTTGCAACAATTTCAATTTTTCTATTTTGGGCTTTCTTTATCAATTCCGTTTTTCTCTGTTTTACAGATTCAGCCAATACCTACTGAGGAAAGTCTTCAACAAAAACTTCAAGACAAGACAAATTGGGACGCTTACAAGTCGATGACAGTTTCAAATTTTATTGTGGTTAAGAAACAATTACATGAACATGGTCTAGATGCTCTATTCTTGTGATAAATTTTTAAAGAAGCAACACACATCAAAAAGCTTAAAAACATAATTTATACCTTTACAGGGAAAAGGCTGAAAAAGATAATAAAGAAATAAAATCAACAGTAAAATTGAAAATCGATTTTGTTTGCACGATCTTTAGTCCGGTTTGTGTGAAAAGCGTTAATTTTTGTGTAAACGATTGCCTTGGGGAATGATCTTAAATTTTGCTCACAAGTTATTACTCCAGAGTTATATCAAAGTTATACAAGTGTTGAAAAAATATTACCAGAAAAAAATCTCAGTGGTGTCCCTATGCGAAGATCTGTTAAACTAAACAATCATACACGTGGTGTGAAACAAATAGTCTGAAGTAATGAAGGAATTAATTACAGATGTACATGTACATACATTGAGCTTCACAAATTCCATGTTTATCAAACTTTACTTGCCGTCAGAGAGATTATATGACGTAGATATAGAGCGTTCCTCTTCTCCATGGGATGTGTTTCATAGAAAGTCCCAATTAAGTGTGTCCTAAGTCTTATGATATAAACCAACTTTAAGACTTACTTAAGATATAAATAAATTCATTCTCCTGACAAAAGTTAAGAAATACAATGATAGACCCTTTTATTCGCAATGTGTAAATGCCCATCACCATTGCTTCTCAGAAATTAAAAGAGTAATAACATAGGAGTCATAAGTTAGAACATTTTGTTTGAAATTGTCTTAGTTTTGGTCTTAAGAATGATTTTAGACTTAGTCTATGAAACGAAGCCCAGGATTTTGTCGTTCGTTTGTTATAAATGTATTGTTTTAATGAGAATTCAAAGAAAATAAGCTGAAAAACTTTCGTATCTTGTTATTTGTCTTTATATATATTGTGCAATAAATCTTATTTAATCAAATCTATGACACAATTCGATCATATAGGCCCTATTGATGTTTAAGGCTGTAGGCTAAAGGAAAAAAAGATCAGGACTTGGGACTGGTCGTATCCATTCCTGTACATACTGAGCTTTTAATTTACTAAAACTAGAGTATTTTCGATTTATCTAAAATCTATTAATTACCGATACAATACAGAAATATTTATTGGTTAATCTGATGGGTCATTCTTTAGGTATTTGTATTTTTCGGGTCACTGATTTAGTTGTATTCCTACGCGTTGTTATAAATTCAGTCATCTTTTCGCGGTCTTTACAGTTCTTAGACACATTTTGGTTGATACAGATCTTTTTTCGTCAGTCTGTTTATCAGTTACCATAGGGTTTTACTGTGCCCGTCTTGTGCTAAAGAAGTTTTCATTTGTTTGTGGAGCGGTCTACATTTATCACGATGAGTTAGAAAGTTGCAGGGACCAGTTATTTATATATTGTTTTTGACTTGCATCTTATAAGGAAGGTAACCTTTTATTTGTTTGAATTGAACAATGCCTCAGGAAAGGAAATCTGAAATAAGTCATAATTACATCTGTTCAAGTTGATGATTTGTCTTACCTTTAGACTGATTGCATAGTATATTTCATTGTTTATTCAGACATCACTTTAGTGTTCTTTTGATATATATTATATATGTGTGTGTCTAAGCTCTGATTAAATCTATTTCATCTGTGTTTTTTTCTGTGTTTGAGATAATTAATAATTATCAATTCTCTGAATAATCAGTCATGAGTTTAAGATAAATTAAGATAAATGAAAATAATGTTATTTAAATGATACCAATTTATTCATATTAATAAAGCAGTCATAAAGAACTATGTAATTTGTATCAGTTCCGGAAGTGATTTTCCTATTTTTTCGCATTTGCTTCTGTATATGAAAAAGTACATGTATACTTTATGTTTCAAAGAAGAAGAAAAACAGAAGAAAATTAATATTTGATAAAATACATCCAAAGTACTTTTACATTTTACTTTTAATATCAAAATACGAAAGACCTCATAAATTATTTAATATTTGTAAAAAAAAGAAGATATTTCTATAGTGCATACACATAAAAGTATCAATTAAATTGACAGCAAGTTCTCGCCGAAACGAAAAGCCCTTCTTGCCCTAATACATGTATCTTTACTAGATGGCAAGTATAAACCAAGTTATCTGTGTCATTGCCATCATTCGTGTGCAATTGCCAAGCAATTACAAAATGTAACATTTTTTCTTGTCTAGTGCATAACTTGAAACATATTGCTGGAATTCAAAACAACTCCATACAATGGTCGAGTACAATAAGAGGAAATGCAGTGCACAAGAGTCATAACTCTACACAGAATAATAATAGAGTTATTGTCCTCTGTTACTTTTCCATTGCTTTTTACTTGTCCGGAGCATAACTTGAAAACTTGTACTTGGAATTCAATACAACTTCATACAATGGTCAAGAACATTGAGATGAAGTGCAGTGCACAAGAAACATAAATATATTTTGACTAATTACATAGTTATTGCCCTTTGTTGCTTTTTCTTGTCCAGTGCATTACTTGTACTTGGAAGACAGGCGCAATGAGAGGGAGTGCAGTGTACAATAACCATAACTCAATTTTCAGTGTTTGCTGAGTTATTGTCCTTTGTTCCGTTTCCTTGTCCGGTGCATAACTTTAAAACTAATGTTTGAAATTCAATGCAACTTCATACAATGGTCAAGCGCTATGAGAGGAAGTGCAGTGCTCAAGAAGCGCTACTCTATCTGAACTTATTACAGAGTTATTCAATAAAACTTCATCAATGGTCAAACACAGTGAAAGGAAATGCAACATACAAGAACCACAACTATCTTTAATTGTCCACGACCATACATCTATTCTGGGACATACGATATCGTATATCCCAGATCTATTTCAATTCTTTTACAAGAATTCTGGTACTAGTAACTTCCTCATTTCCGAAGCAGTCGTGCGGGGGAATTAATCACATTTAGTGATACATTTAGCTCTAGTTCTTCAGGTAATATACATAAAAATAAGACATATTAAAGCTGCATGCCTCCAAAATGAGCCATACCATTTCAAGAAAATCAAACTTTCAAGAAAAACGTTTTAAAATTTTAAGAGAAGTAGAAGATTCAAGATTCAAATTCAATAAATAATTTACGTGTCATGTGGATTAATTATTTATCACCTTACTGCGTGACTAACACAGTAAAAACGTCAAATCAAATCAAATCATCAAATCAAAATTTATTCATTGTCGGTAATACATATATAACATTTTACAAAACATAAGCTATGTATAGCTTTTGACCAACATAACGTGCTATTTTTGCATATTTTGGCCTCCTTTTAGAAATTTACGTGGATTGTAAGGGCCGTTTGTTATTAGTAAATAACTTTCTTTGCTCACTTCACAATCTTTTACTTTTAAATATATATCCATATGTTTATGTTCACTTTGCAAGATATCTTCCTTTGGGTTTATATAAAACTCTTCTTGTAAAATACGAATCGTTGGGTTATTCATAAGTCAATTAAGTCCGTATCCAATAGAAGATTGCAGAGATGATTTACTTTATTTTTTATTGTGTATATTATTATTTACTGACTTACATTGTTGGTGGATGGTGCTTATTAATGCAGGTTCTATCAAGACGTAAAATAAGTTCAGGTTGTCAATTTTACTTACCGTTTCAACCATTTTGTAATCTTTCTTTGTACTCAAAACTATTCGTTACAGGAAAATCGGTGTCAAACAAATCTGTATCCACACAATAAAATAAATAATTTTTCAAAGTTGAGATAATTGTTTTAAAGGTAACATTGAACAATGCAAGTCTTTTAGCTTTACATATAGGCCCAGGTGTTTTTATTGTTTTGTGAAAAAAAAAAAAAAAAACAAAAAAAAAAAAAAACCAACAGCACAATACACCGTAGTCAAAATATATTGACGTGCCAAAGCTTGATTCTGAGATATTTTCGTTCTGGGGCAGAATCGAAAATAGCACAATATCTCGTCGCGCAGTACAATTAGTTGGACTAAATACACCGATAAACACTTATAGAACTAGATCTAGCAGAAAACCGGTTATCAGTAGTAGTTCGAGTAAAGATAACAGGCTGCGTATCTCACTGAATAAATCATATGTAAAATGGTTAGTCCTATAAATATGACTTCGCTTTGAGATATTTTTGCTTCTGGGAAAAGCAACAAAAACTATAACAAGCCTGTAACGTCTAATATATTGGACTAGTAAAATGGTCTGACATATGGTAGGTTTCACGGCTGCAGATAGCATGCGTATTTGCGTAATTACACAATTAAAATGTCAAAAAAAAGCAATAGAAATAATAACTAAGGGTAAGAAAAAGTAAATCAATTCTCATTTATGCAAACTACATTGGAACTGGTGGGTAAAGACGTAAGTTATACTTAATGATGTACATCAGGCAGATCATACTGTTTCAGACTATTTTAACCTTTAAATCATATCAGGCAGCTTGGAAATCTTCTAGGCCAATAAACCATAAAGCATAGTAGTAAGTAGCTTTTTTTATTACCATACAAAACCTACAACAGTCTACAATGAATGTCAGAAATTTTGGATAAAATACATGAATTTGTGCTTTATAACCCAAATTGGTTAGAGAGGGTAGGGTAAAAAGTACAGAAATAACTCTAAGAAAATAGAAAAAACCCAATAGATCACAAAACAAGGGGTAATCACCCAATATACACAAAATGTTATCTGTAGCCCTGGGTTTAACAGTTAATTTAAATACATTGGAGAAAAAAGATGTATTGAAGTTTATACTGTGATGAAGCTAAGATCCAAAGCTTTCTATTCACTATTGGTGTAATACATTTTAAAATCGGACATTTAATCACAACAAATTAACTAGCGCTTTAAAAAGGCCTATTTTGTATTGTTTTAGCATATAAAGCAATGTCGATTTTACTCAAAGATAAGGGAAGCAACTCATATTTTTTTCTCGATATACCTCGGCTATTTACGAAGATCATATTGAAAGTGTTTATGGGTGTTTATTATTATAATACACCTATTAACAGTTCTATATATGTGTAAAATTTATTTTGCAAATGCTAAAATTACAGTAATATGAAAGTTCATGTAGGCAAAGCCTGTGAACAGGGAAGTTAGATTTAATAAATAAGAAAAATCTGTTTATTTTTAATTTTTCATTTTTAAAGGTGTCATTTAGTATTTCAGGCACCACTTCCATTTTCAATTGGAACAACTTGGTGATTATTCTTAAACTGAAAACTTGCAATTATTCTGTTCACAATCATGGCCTTTGACTTCCCTGTATTAATTCATACATGTATAACATAATTTTTAAACTGTTAAATGTACCACCTGTCAACCTTTTTACATACACTGTACTGTAATGCTTTGTGGTTCTCTGGGCAAGGATAAGTAATAACTCTCCAGAGTAAAAGAAATGTATTATTACCACCAAATATCAAAACACCCATACAATTACAATAACCAAATAACAACTAAACTGAATGACTTTAAACACACTACTGCATGACACTGATCATAACATCCTTTTATATAGGTAAAACTAGTCTTCTTAGTCCAGCTTAACCTTTACATCTTCTAAATTTATATAGTCCTAAAAGGTCAATGTTTCCAATCAGAATTCGTCACACTATGTTTTTTCCAATCAACAACTGATAAGAATAGCCTGTTGTCTGCTACTTTGAAAAACTGTGTATCATATTTTCTTTACAAAATATAATGTGTCAACACCTGGAATAGATTTAATTTTCTAAATCTAACTACTACATAACAAGTACTTGTCACAAAAACTTCAAGGTTAGTACTTGTAAAGAATTAAGTAGAATTTATTTTTTAAATGTTCTAAATGCAGATATGGTGCTTTTTGCTAAATGTTATGTATATTATATCGACGCCTCTGTGGTCAAGGGGTTAGAGTCGATGACTTCTAATCCAGTTACCTCTCTGGTGTGGGTTCGTTCCCGGGAGATGCTTTGGTACATTTGTAGTTTAGCACGGAGGAAGGTAGTCTAGTACTGGTGTAACTCTCCAGGAACGATGGTTAGGAAAGTACCCGCCTATATGACTGAAATACTGTTGGGAAAAGGCGTAAAATGAAACAAACAAACAAACAAAATGTATATTATAAGCATTCAGTCATTTATTTATTTATTTTTTAACTAAACAATATTTGTAATTTCAGATTTGCCATTACAAACAGGAAAGGTTGCTATAGTTACGGGAGGTGGTGCTGGGATTGGATATCATGTCTCTAAAGGTCTTGTTGCTAAAAATGTTCATGTTGTCATAGGTATGTAATGTTCATGTTGTCATAGGTATGTAATGTTCATGTTGTCATAGGTATGTAATGTTCATGTTGTCATAGGTATGTAATGTTCATGTTGTCATAGGTATGTAATGTTCATGTTGTCATAGGTATGTAATGTTCATGTTGTCATAGGTATGTAATGTTCATGTTGTCATAGGTATGTAATGTTTATTTACCAAAACTTGGTCATCAGAAATGCATAATTTATTAATTGAATTATTTTCCCAAAATTAAAAAATACAGACCATTTCTGATTTCAATACAGACCATTTCTGATTTCAACGAGTATTACTCTTAGCTTGAACTTACAGTTGGCTGATTAATCATTTCTGTTGGTAATACAACATATTAGTTTAATGTAATATAAACCTGTTAAAGTAGGGTTTGCTGTTCTTTAATTCATTGTCTTATGGTGTGGACACATCTTTGTCCCAGATACCTTCATTCAAATTTGGACACATATTGATACCTTCATTCAAATTTGGACACATATTGCCCTGTCGAAGCAGAGTTCTTGTTAACCCTTAACCTGCTGGAACCAATTGTGATTAGTCTTTGCCAGCAGTACAGAGCCAGACCAGTCCACAAATCCATAAAGACTGACCAGGCTGTATACTGTTGATAGCTCAGGTCTTACATTTTTATATCACACAGTAATCAGCATTTCCATTAGCAGAAGTTTGGGAGTCACTTACGCCTTAATTTTGGCTTGTGACTTCCAAAATGTAATGCTTTTTCTTCTTTACCTATAGATATATAATGTGACTTCCAATATCAGACATTCTGCAGAAGCTAACTTCCAAATTTTGAAACTTAATGGAAGCCCTATCACAGGGATTCCAAATTCAAAGCTGGGCAAATACATGTCACTTATTCTTAATTGAAATTGTTTTATTGCTATTGGTTTGTTTTAAAGAACTTATATACACATATTACATATATTATACCAATAATGTGATTTACAGGAGGAAAATGTGAGGAAACAGGCAAGAATGCTATTGTAGAGATCAGAAAAGATTTTCCAAATGCTAAAGGTAAATTACAAACTAGGAGAGGTAAATTGTTGGTATTTAGTCCTCTACAGGTTTCACCCGGGATAATTATATTATGTCCAACTGAAAAACTCTGGACCCTGCCAAAAACTCAAGTACAAGAGCTACTAGGGCTGAGGATGTTTGGCATGCTGATAGAGGATGATCGGAAGATTATTTTCATCATTATAATTCTTTTATCCATCCGTTCATCTGTCATTCAAATGATTCATTCAAAGAAATCTGGATCCTGCAATAACTTGAAGAGTGTGTAAGCTAGTTTGATAATAATATGTATATGGATGAAAGACTATATAGAAATTAAACACATTAATTTAATTTTTTCATTCATTTATTATCCCCCGCCGATGGAATCGGGAGGGGGGTATAGTTTTGGCGTTGTCCGTCCGTCCTACCGTCAGTCCGTCCATCCGAATTTCGTTTCCAGAGTAGTTCTCTGCAACTACTTGCTGGAATTCAACGAAACTTTATGGGAATCATCAATATCAAGAGGAGATGCGCATATCGTCGGCTTGATCCAGTCGGACCCTTTAACTCAGAGTTATGGCCCTTGATTAGTTATGTAGTATGCATATAGAGTAAAAATCGTTTCCGGAGTAGTTCTCTGCAACTACTGGCTGGAATTCAACGAAACTTTATGGGAATCATCAATATCAAGAGGAGATGCGCCTATCGTCTGCTTGTTCCGGTCCGACCCTTTAACTCAGAGTTATGGCCCTTGATTAGTTATGTAGTATGCATATAGTGTTAAAATCGTTTCCGGAGTAGTTCTCTGCAACCACTGGCTGGAATTCAGCGAAACTTTATGGGAATCATCAATATCAAGAGGAGATGCGCATATCGTCGGCTTGTTCCGTCAGACCCTTTAACTCAGAGTTATGGCCCTTGATTAGTTATGTAGTATGCATATAGAGTGAACAGTTCTGAACCATGATATAGACATAAAATAAAGCATTTCTTATTAATTGCAGACATTTGTGTACTCTTTCTGTCAGAATGAAATTATCAGATTGCTACATTCTATTTCAGTTGACTTTATCCATTTAGACCTTGAATCTTTGAGATCAGTTAGAGAATTTGCAGAGACATTTTTATCCAAGAATTTACCACTTCACATGCTGATAAATAATGGTGAGTAATGTTTGTGTATGTAAAAGTTGGGATGCAGTAACATTAGCCTCAAATGTAAATTAATGCTTCTATGTTGAAGATTACTCAATAGCGATAACCTGTGGGATTATTTGGTTATCCAGCAGAACTATATTCAACACATGAATTTTCTTTTTGTGAGAAAATTCATCTTGTCCATTCACATTAGTCTTAAGATACCATACTTAGCGATGGAATCCTATAAAATGTGAACTTGCCCATCTGTAAATAGAAAAATCAGAGCTATAAAAAATTATATTGTCTCGAAGATTTTTGATAAAATGTTAGCCTTATCAGACTAATTCAGTTCCAAATATAATTGGTAAGCATCTGACTTCCAATCCCCTAAAAGCTGAATATGCTCTTGGGAAATATCAGAATGATGAGCTAAAGTTGCAAAACCTCTTCTAAACGAATGAGAGGAAAAGTGTTTAGGAGATAAGCCAATTCATGAGGCTATACACTCCCTTAATATCTTTTGAAATAAATAATATGAAACATATGAACCATTAGAATGAGAAAATAAAACATTATTACTATTGCTAAACTTTAAGACAAGCATTTTTTCATATGCAACCACAGGACATAATCTAACATCCTTGAGCCTCAACAAAGGACTAATAACCTCTCTTTCTCCATACTGAATTGAAATGAACCAAAATATAACCACCAAAATATCGCACACTCTCTTTACTTAGAAAACAACAGAAATGATTACCATATTGAGACGACATGTCGCATGCAACATTTAGGTCGCTACCTTGATGGTCAAGGTCACAGAATGACCTTGCAGCAAAATTGTGTCTGGCCCATAACTTCATTATTTGAAGTCGGATTTTACAACTATTTCACAGAAATGATCATGATATTGAGACGACGTGTCGTGCGCAACATTTGGGTTGCTACCTTGAAGGTCAAGGTCACAGCATGACCTTGCAGCAAAATGGTGTCTTGCACATAAACTTTGTTATTTGAAGTCGTATTTTACATCTATTTCTCAGAAATGATCACCATATTTACACTTTGAACTTTGTCTGCGACATAACTCTGACACTACAAGAGGTATACCTTCTTGTGTCCTATTTTCAAGGCCCTGAAATTTCCCTTTATGTTTTCTATGTAATTCATACCATTGAATTCCAGAACTTCTAAATTCTGAATTCCGAATGATTTTCTGGTAAAATTTGGGTTACATCAGTTAAATTTTTCTTCAGAAATCTTTGTATCAGAAAGGCTGTGAAAGACTTTTATACTGAAAATAGTAAAACCTTCAACAATATTGTCAATATCTTTCAATAATAAGAGACCATTTATCTTGACACCTATTAGAATAACAACCTGTCAAGCCTTTGGTTAAAGTATGAAAATTTAAGAAATTAAGAAGTATATTGTAAAAAACAATGATAACAGGTTAATAGCTGGTACTATACCAAGGATATACATGTATTGTGATTACTTAGCTTTATTATACCGGTACTACATACATTTTATCAACAGTCAGTTATAGGTGATAGCTCTTGTAAAAATAAATCTAAAATAAAATAACTGTAAAAGAATCCTCTAAATATGCCTTTTAAAGAATTGCATCAGCATCATATACATGTATTTACCATTTACAGCATGTCATATGAAAACTACTGAGATTTCGTGGTTTTACTTTTAAAGATAATTCAAAACTTCTTAATACCAAAAACTTCTAAAATACAAAGTTTTTGACTAGTCCCACAGGTGTTTGGTTTTCAGAAGTTTTACTGTACATTTATTATATATATATTTACAGCTGGTATAATGTTTACACCTTACAGTTGTACAGAGGATGGGTATGAGTGTCAGTTTCAGGTGAACTATCTCTCACACTTCTATCTTACACAGTTACTACTGGAGAAGTTAGTACAATCTGGGACACCAGGATCATGGTCTCGTATCATCAATGTCTCATCTTACATGCATTATACAGGCAATCCTGATCTAGACAATCTGACAAAAAGGTAATAGTCAACATGTAAATTGTTTTTGCTTGAACATGTGTATAATTGTACATTGATATTTATTTCTTACTAAAATACTTGTACATGTCTAACTTTAACATTGGTACATAAGTCTCACTAATATATTGGGGCATATTTTACACCAGTACATGAGCACATATTTTAAACTTGAATATTGGTACAAATTTGTAACTAGTTATATCATAATCAGGTTTAAAACTTGAACATTGGTCGTTTTTCTCACAAGCACATAAGTACATATTTCAGACAAGCACATTGGTACTTATTTGTAAGTAATATTTTTGAAATTGGTACATGTCTAAATTTAACATTGGTACATAAGTCTCACTAGTACATACTTTTCTCACTAGTTTATTGATACATATTTCAGACTAGTATATTGATACATATTTCAGACTAGTACATTGGTACATATTTCAGACTAGTATATTGGTACATATTTCAGACTAGTACATTAGTACATATTTTAGACTAGTATATTGGTACATATTTCAGACTAGTTTATTGGTATATATTTCAGACTAGTACAGTGGTACATATTTCAGACTAGTACATATTTCATACTAGTACATTGATACTTATTTCAGACTAGTACATTAGTACATATTTTAGACTAGTATATTGGTACATATTTCAGACTAGTGCATTAGTACATATTTTGGACTAGTATATTGGTACATATTTCAGACTAGTGCATTAGTACATATTTTAGACTAGTATATTGGTACATATTTCA